GATTAACGACTTTTGACTGTATACGACATTATATTAATTTACTTACCAAATTAGCAAAAACATTTCAAATTCAAAATCCAGCTTTTTGCCAAGTACTTTTTGCAAATTAATAAAAGTTCCAATACCTTTGTTGTTTAACTTAAAGATAAACAATTTTTTTTTTTTTCCATGAAATGCTAATTTTATGTTATTTGCTAAAAACTGGGAAGTGCAAAATCAAAGTCCATGTGAAATACATATACTTATGAATGAACACAGCACACAAACATTTCTTCACCCTAAGCACGAACACAAATAATATTTTAAACAGCTTAAAATGAATCCACTTTCAAAGTATTTAATTTGTGATAGATAATGACAGCTGAAAAACATTTTCCAATATTACAAGATAAAATGAGGTTATTTCTCAAATAGTTTCACAAATAAACTCACAAAATAAAGAACGCTTTTTTTTTTAAATTTGCAATATGTTAGAGATGCTTTATTGAAGAATTTGCAATAATAATATCGTTTCGATTTTCATTTTATCCAAGATTGTCCATTTTCACTGATGAGCAACTTGCTAATTATTAGTCCAATGTAGAGTCCCTCCTTCTGTTTTCTCATAAAATCGCCTTTGTAAATTTAGAGTTTAATTTAGCAAAACGTTTTCCACCTAAGTGGTAAAATGTCTTCGTAAAGGATTCCCTAAAGAAATCTGCCTTGTATTTATGTTGCATTTAGGGATATTTTCAAAACACACGCTGCTGATTGTTATTTTTAATAGGTGAACAAAAGAAATATTTTTTTTTTTTAAGAAAGAATATAACTTAACTGCAAGCTATATCTCTTATCCTAGATAGCGAAGCTTGATTACAAACTCAATTTTTAAAATACATTTAATTATCTTTATGCTTGAAGAGCATAGAAAATGCCTTGTCTGGTAATTTCAAATGCATTAACAATTTTTTAAAACTGTAATCCACTGTGAATTGAATAATTACAAATAGCATAATGGGAACGATTAATGAAGCTAGAACTGCCAGTTTATTCCTTTGTAATTAATCCAAATTTTGTTGTTTCAGCATCCTGGTATCTTTCTTCTCCAATACTAAAACAAGCTCACATTAATAAGCTAGGTGCACAACTAGATATTATAGCAGTCCCATGTAGAAAGTTTGAACATTCTACGAATAATCATTTTTGAGTTATGCGAAATGCATTCATACATACGTACATGCACATGTCATGCCGAAACTAGTCATAACTCCCAAATATGTATAAAGTTCCAGCACTTTGTGTCGAATCGTTTTTTTTAAGTTATGCGACATACGTAAGTATTGACGTCACATCGGAACTAATCAAAATGGATATTTCCTATGAAACCTGAAAATTGAAATTTCTGACGAATACAATATTTTCTCTACTTCGCGCAAGGAATTAAAAATAGTAAGGTCATTCATATATGTGAAGCTACCTTGTATTTGGGCCAAAACAATATTTCATTTAATTAAGAATGTAGCCTTGACGTACAGCATATAACATTACTTGTTCACTGATAGAACTTTTATAAGAATTGTTTGCTAAGGGGGAAGTCAGTGAACAAGTTCAGCTATTCTTAAATTGCCAATGAACATATTTGCCAGCAGATATCAATATTAGAATTTATCTCACTCCGTTTTCTTAATTATTAATAATAAAAATTGTTACCCAAAATAATTTCTTAAATTGTTATTGAAAACGACATGATAAATAATTAACTAATAATAAATTTACAATGCAATATAAAGAATTATTTAAATCTAATAGTTTAATCTGAAATAAACTTAAAATATTTGAAAATTAAATTAAAAACATCATATTAAAAAAGTTGTGCATAATATATATTCCAAGAACAGGAATGCAAGGGGAAAATATTCTTACATATTTTCTTTGACTAAAATTTGAATAAAAATGACTTTGATATTTAAAAGTATTTTCATAGAAAATGTCTAAAGAATACAAGATTAATTTTTTAGCAGTATCGAAGCAGTTTCTTAAAGAAACTCAAAACATATTACATAGTTTCTATTGATGCATATTGACTATATTTCTACATTTGGCACATATCCTGATTAAGCTACAAGTAATATATAGCATAGATGTTAGTATCAAAACTCAAATCAAAATAGCCAAATACAAGCTAAAATATAATTCTGGCAACCACGCATGTTCCAAAGATACCCTAGGTAGAAAAACTAATTTTGCTCACTAAATTCAAGAGAGGGGAGAATTACCTTAATTTTTTTTCACATGTGGGGGTGCCCGCTTTCCAAGTAGTTTCAATCAAAATACTTGCCATTTTTGCAAAAGACCAATTGAGTATACACAATTATTTTTAATGTGGTTTTCCAGAAAAAGCCTTGCCACTCAGAGGGTTAATTCACTTAGAATGGAGTATTTTAACAACTCTGACTTGCCTCTTGACTGTGTAATCAGGAAAGCGGCCAATGCTAATTTATTTCAGTACCTCAAGGAGAGTGGTTTTTGTTATTTAATTTGATTTTCTTTTGATGAGTATTTGGATTTTAGTGCTATAAATTTTATTGTATATCATATTTTATGATTTCATACATGCGTCACATCTTACATCATTACACAATTCAGGAGTTACTTCATCTTAACTTTCACCATTTTTATTGCTTCTTTTTATTTTATAAGTCTGTTCTTGTTTTAAACTTGCGATTGCTTAGAATTTATGTGTAGATGTGACTGTAACTTGTTTTTAACTATCGTGTGTCTGGTACTAATAACCTGTCCAGGTTGTGCGCCAAAATAATTACCATTACCATTACCAATAAGATTCCAAGGAATTTCGGCTAATATAGCAGATTGCGCTGTTCCCTGACTTTCTGATTTGATCCAGCTTATTATTTTTGGAGGCTGCTATTATTACAGCAAATTTATGAAAATTAAAATTTAAACTTTTGATGTCTGGAAAGAGTTTCTATTTCTGGAGCTGCAACAGGATCTACAAAGTGAAAGCATGTTTTGATGTCCATTAAACAAAAAGTGGAACTGCGGCAAAAAATGGATAAAGGTGTATCTGTCTCAAAATTATGAGAGGCATATGGCATTGGGAAGTCACCTGTATTTGACATAACAGAAAAAGGAACTTACAAAAGCTTTTGTGGATTCCGACATCCCACTTGTAATGAATAACAGAAAAATTATTCATTATGCTAAAAGTGACGATCATGACGAAGTGATGATTGAATAGGTCAAGGAGCGTTGCAGCGAGGACGTACCATTGACGGGTCCAATGCTAATGGCTCAAGCCAAAGTATTTCATGAGAAAATGAGCTTAGAAACTGAGTGCAACAGGTTGGTTGACCGAATTAAAAAATTGCCACAGTAAAGGCAATTAAAAATTTCAGGTGAAAATGTTTCAGCTGGTATTGAAGATGCTGAACTATTTGCGGGAGTTAATCAAACTCTTTAATAGTGAAAAGTTATCTGCAGAACAAATTTACAATGCTGATGAAGCTGGTCTTTTCTGGCAATATGTATTGTGAAATAACTTGGCAGCCTCTACAAAAAAAGGCTCCAACTGGTGTCATTGATTCGAAAGCGAGACTAACAATTTTAGCATACGCAAATGCTGAAAGAATACATAGGTATGAACTTTTGGTAATTGGAAAAAATGTGTGACATCTAGCATTTAAAGGAATAAAGATTTTCCCTGTTATATATTGTGCAGATAAAAGAGCATGGCTGACAAAAGCATTAATGAATGATTGGTTTGAAAATCATTTCATACCTGATGCTCAGGATAATTTTAATTCGGTTGGTTTACCTGATGGTGCAAAAATTGTCCTTATTGTATACAAGTGTTTGGATCATATATTGCTTAAAGATTTAGTGAAAGATAATGTATGTGTAATATTCTTTCCTCCAAATTGTATGTATGTCATTCAGCGTATGGATATCGGAATAGTGCGTGAGCTGAAATGCAAATATGGGTAGCATTTTTAAAATCCATGGCAAACTTCTCAAGTAATGGCAAGACTATACAAAATTTTTTGAAATATCATAACACAAAATCTGCTATGTGGAGCATCACAAGATCATGGGAGGATAAGTCTGAAGATACATTAAAAAAATACTTGGCATAATTTATGGCCAGCTACTATATTTCATGAAGATTATAGCCGCAAATTAGAAGGTTTTTCAGATGTCGCCAATCAAAGGTGAAATTTTCCGATTAATGAATTTAGTAAAGAAATGTAGAGAAGTGGTAATAAATGAAGATGATATCACATAAGTTTTTCATTGCGATGACAATGCCCCAGTCATCGGTCAATTAACGGATGGCAAAATCTGTAGTATGGTTCTAGATCCAGAAAATACCGCTACCAATCGTGAAGAAGGTGGTAGGGATTAAAAACGAAAAAATTTCGATTGACAAGTTAGTCGGAATTCTTGACATAGCAGTTACAGGACTTGAACAGTGGAACTTGTAACTGAACAAGAAATTATGTCTCTTTATAGAATTGAAGAGAAAGTATTAACTTAAAAAACGAAGCAACTTGAACAAACTTACATTGAAAAAAAAAATGTTTAATAAAGCCAAGAAATTAATATTAAGCTTTTTTTTTGTAAAATTTTTATACCTTTTAGATTATAAATGCTTTACTATTTCATAATTCACAATTTCATATTTTTTTATAATTTCTACATGCCATCTTACTAGATTTAAACTGATGATCTAATGTCTGGAAAAATCCAGATATCCCAAAGTCCCGATGAATCTGGATCTCGGACTTTGTACTGCATTTGTTTCCTGCTGAAGTTGAAGTATGTGAAAGTAAAAACAAAACTTTATATCTTTTTTAATGATCTGTTGGGGTGTGAATTTGATAACCACAAAAGAATAGTTTTTCATACTGACTGAATTTAAATAATTCTCTTAATTGATATGCTGAGAGGATACATGCCTAATAGAAGTGTAAAGTGCATTTAATGTGATTTTATTTTAATAGGTCATGAGTTTTATGATACAACATGGTACTTGTCGCAGAAGAATATTCCATCATATTGGAAACTGTTGATGCTATCTAAATGCAAAGATCGTGAAGTTCGACATCAGGCCATAAAGGCATTGTCTGAATTACCTAAATTAGAAAGTATGTACTTTTAAACTAATGCACTCTGATTTTATAATTTTAGATACACATCCAAGCAACAAATGAAATTCAGTTTTTCATCTTTTAGTTTCAAATTTTATGCATTTGTGTTTTATATCTATATATGTGTGTATGATAAAGATATGTAAAACAACCTTCTAGTTTTTATTTGCAACAGCTTATTAACTCTTCCGTTTAGTTTGGTTATTTTCCCTTTTCAATCATAAAAATATTAACTGCTTGTAATAAATTGCTCTTTAACTGCGTAGTGTCAAAATTAATCCTCTCATATAATACTTCAACCAGTCATATTATTAAAATTTACGAACTGAAACTAAGAATTGTCCACTAAGAAAAAGTAGAACCATAACTTTACTAAATACTTCATTTGGAAACTACACATTCCTTCCCATGTTTGCAAGTATGCTGCATGCTGTCTGCTGCTACTCCTTTTTTCTTCAGGTATCTCCAAAAGAGTAAAAGTATCAATGTAACTGTTTAAAAGGCATGCTTTTTGTGCCAGGTTATCTGTGGTTGTATTAAAAATATGCTACCAACAATAAAGGAGTTACTCAATTTATAAAATATTATATTAACTGTCAAGAATTGCATGATATCTTAGTTCAAAAAAACACTAATTCGAATCACACATAACATCAAAATACATGAACACTACAAAATCAGGTTTCTAAACTGCCAAGTTTATTCAAGTCGAACACACATTCAACTGCCGGATGCCAGATCCAAGAACAAGAAGTATATATACATCATGAAAGATTTACGCCCTCTTTGGCGATTAAAATATATTTCCACATAAAATTTCTTACACACTGGGCCCGGCTGAACTGTAGTTCAGAACAATCAAGATTATCAGTGTTACATGAACATTTTCAAGAATTGTTTTCAAGAATCATTATGCATTTCAATACAAATTCAAGTTTTGTAATAAAGAATCGTCACAGAAATATCAAGAACATGTAAAACTTACCATATGTTTCAAGAATATCAAGTAAATTTTCAAATAAATTTCATCAAGAATTATTGTCATAACATTCCTGTTCAAGCATCAGGATTTAAATCAAGAATTTATATGACTCAAGATAATATTAAACAAATTATTTCAAAATCAAGATTATCATAATTCAACTAAAATACTAGAATTATTACAAGAAACCTGTCTTTTTTTTTTTTCAGAATTAAATTAAAATTTTTAAATACACTTATACATTTCTACAACCTTAAAAATTTTCTAATATATACATTTCTTTAAATATTAAATATACAGTACTTTAAATAGCAATTAAATAAAATAGATACAACATTAGTAGCATTACGATTACATTTTCAGTAAGAAATATACTATCATACAATATTAATACTCTTAGCACTCTAAATTTAGATAGAGGTAATGGTGCTATGACTTGTCGCATTGGTCAGGAATTATAACGCTGACACAGTACACAGTTTCTTATAACACGTTTCACATTTTGTCTGGATCTAATTATCCAGTACTTTTCACGGAGGAACATGAGAGTACTAGCTACACCTGTATGAAGAACTCGTTCATGTGCATCACGTACTAGAAGATCTGTAAAATGAGTTTTTGAAGGAATAATTATAGGATGCTTTTCATGAAAACTTAAAGTTGATTTTTGTAGTCTTCCTCCTACTAACAAAACTCTTTCCTCACTTAGAAAAGGATTTAGTTCATAAATGTTTGAGCTTTTTGAAATCAACTGTCCCGACTTTAGACTATTAATTTCATCAGAAAAATGTTCATATTGAACTTTTTTTTATCAAATATAATTCTGCGGCAAAAAGTTCTGCTATCAAGGGTCCAGTTTTCTTGTCAGTTTTATTTTTCAGATTGTGAATAAACCTAAATATCCATGCAGTTACTCTAATAGCTCTAATTAATTTACTATAATTTTCAAGATTCAACAGAGAATTAGATTTTTCTGCAATAGACGGTAGTATTGTCGTATCATTTATACACTTTTTGCGCTCTAATTCAGCATCAGAAAACTCCGTTGTCACGATAAATTTACTAGGCCAAGCACTCACTGATTCAACTAACCAGTCTGGCCCAGACTGCCATAATCTTGAAGACAACAAATATTCGGCTGAACATCCTCGAGATAAAATGTCCGCTGGATTGGACTTCCCATTACAATGTCTCCAGTTATTTGGGCAAGTTAATGATTGTATTTCAGATACTCGATTTTTTACAAACATTTTCCATCGTTCAGGAGCACTATGAATCCAGTGAACCACTATCATACTGTCAGTCCACAGATAAATATTTTCTTCATGAATTGAAAACAGCTCTTTTAAATGTTTAGCAAGTCTTGCTGATGTTAATGCTCCTAGCAACTCTAACCTTGGAAGTGTGAGTTTTTGTTTTATATTGGCGCAATTCTAGATTTTGCCATAATGAATGCTACCTGTCCTTCTTCAACTGACCTAAAATATGCAACTGAACCATACGCTTTAATAGATGCATCACAAAATAAATGAAGTTCGATATCCTTATTTTGATTCAATTTGCCGGGGAAATATTCTCGAGAAATTTCAAATTTCTTTAACTTTTCAATTTCACCGCTCCACTCGGACCACAACTGCTTACATTCAGTTGGAACTTCATCGTCAAATTCTAAACCCAACTGCCAAAGGTTTTGCATTATCAATTTTGCACGTAATACAAATGGCGCCAGAAAAACTACTGGATCGAAAATAGTAGCAGTCACCTTTAATATATTTCTTTTTGTGGTTTTTCTACAACTATTTAATGTTTCGCACAAGTTGTCTATGTTCAAGGAAATTACATCTTTACTCGTACACCAGTTAAGCCCTAATACTTTTAAAGAACTATTTAGTTCATTTTCTGATTTAATTATTCCACAATCATCCCAAAGTTTCTTTAGTTTCTCGGAATTTGTATTAAACTGACGCAAATTCATTCCGGCATCTTTAAGCACGCAATAGGCTCCAGTACTTAACTTAAAAGCCTGTTCCACAGAATCTGCACCATAGAAAACATCATCTACGTAGATCGAACAGTTCAACATCTCAAAAATATCTGGATTTTCTAATCTCTATTTCTCTATTTTATTTTATATGCTTTTTTATAGTGCACGCCAGAATGAAAGGGCTACATGATACACCGAAAGGAACGCGAGTCATTCTATAATGTTTCAAATTGTAATTATTATCAAAGTATAAAAACCGTAATACATCTCTATCAATTTCAGAGATTCCAATCTGGAGAAAGGCCTTTTCAATGTCTGCTGAGAACGCATGTTTGTATTGTCTGAACCGCAATATCAAGTCCAAAACAGAAGGATTCAAATTTGGGCCAGGCATCAAACAATTGTTCAGAGATACCCCATTACACTTCGAAGATGCGTCAAACACGATACGGACTTTAGTTTTTGATACATTTTTTCTTACAACTGGAGCATGTGGCATGTAATACATTTTACTACTATCACAACTTTCAATTTCGCACTCTTCAATTATTTCATTTTTTAACTGTTCGTTTATTATGCTATCATAATTCGCCCTAAGCCATTCATCACTTTTTAGTTTATTAACCAAAGATACTAGACGTCGCTTGGAATTTTCTAAATTATTACCCAAGTTTGCATGATGTGATTTCCATAACAAACGAGCTACATATCTACCATTAGTAAAATGCAATTCTTTTTCAAATTTCTCAATGACTGATTTATCGTCAGGATTCTCGTTCTCCTCTAAACCCAAATGGTCCAGAGTCCAAAACCTTTGCAAACAGTCATTAACTGAATTATTATCTTCCTTCAAGTAATGAGAAGCACCAGTTGTAAAAATACAGGCACTAGACTGATCACCTTCTAAAGATCCAACTAAGGACCAACCAAATATAGAAGACACCGCAAATAATTTATTAGTTACTCTTTTCTTTTCGCCTGTTTGCACTTCCCAACATGAATCAGATCCTAACAATATTTTTATTTCAGCTGCTTCACCATTATCGGCTAATTTTAGATTTTCTGATTTTAATATTTCTAAAATGTTTTTGGAGGGAATTTTTATGATCGCTCCAGAAATTGTATCTGTAACAAGAGCTTCAATAGTGATTGAGTCATTAGGGAAATGCATACTTTTCAGGGTAATTTGAACAACATTATATTCTATTAGTCTACCTTGGCTATACCCAAATGAATAAATATATAACCTTTCTTTCCTTAAAGTCCTTAATTTTAGTTCTTTAGCCAAATCAGATCTAATAAATGACCTCTGTGATCCACCATCAATTAAGATTTTTACTATTTGGCTTCTAGTATTATCTGTATCTGAAGCGTTAACAGTGCAAGTTTGTAAATATACACCTTTATCAGCAGTTTCAGAAACAGTCTCAGAGTTAAACGACAGGGATGCAACTACATTCTGCTTAGAATCTGATACTGTAACTACTTTCTGTTTAACATCTGAAACTGCTTCCACTTCAGGAAGAATATTTTTTACAAAATAGCTTATTATGATTTAAACCATTACACAACTCACAAGGTTGAAGTTTCATTTTACATCTGGAAGCTACATGACCTCTCTTAAAACATCTGTAACAACGTCCATGGTATTTTAATATCGCTCTTTTTTGCTCATTTGTTTTCTCACATTTTCCTACATCATGTGTATTTTGATTACAATAGAAACAATACGGCTTAGTCACTGTAGCTAACGCCGAAGCAGTAGGAACACTTGCCCCTTTTAAGTAATTATTTTTATTCTGTTTAACACCGTAATTTGTGTCCCTTTTCTTTGAGTTTATTATTAAATTAGAAGCTTCCCGACTCTCAACTTCCAATCTAATGAATTCGAGAAGTTCTGTTAGGCTATATTGCTGTTTAGAGTTTCTTTTTCTATTAAACTCCAGATTCATATCGTCTGGTAAAAGCTTTAAAATAACAGGTCCTAAAAGGGTTCCGTAAGCTTCCGACACAATACCCAATGAATTTAAG